GACTGAAGACATGATGAAAGGTTTGTCTAAAATACAGTGCACTTAAAGGGACAGTTCACCCAAATATAATGTTTCTGTCAACTCACCCTTGTGTCATTCCAAACTGACTTTCTTATACTGCAGAGCACAAAAGGAGAAATTTTGAATAATGTGTTTGAACAATGTGTATAAAATTTTCTTTGGTCATACAACAACTTTGTGTAAAGAACAGACTGAAACGTAATTTGTCGTCACCCCAGTGAACTGTTGAACTTGAGAGTCAGATTCATGAATGAATCATTCAGACCATTCAGTAAATTGATTCACTAAAAGAAACATTCTCAAAATTACAATTTGTTCATAAATCACATAGCTAATTCTCTCATAAATGAACCTGCCAGAGAGCTAGAACGGATGTCAATAACTTACATTTCAGTCTGTTCCTCACACAAGGATATGTCTTCAGAAGCGCACAAGTTTTATGGACTACTTGTGTCCATTTTTATCGGTCCTTCAGTGTAACTGCACAGAAAAGAACAACAAACTACATTCCTCCAAATTTCTTCTTTTGCTTTCACTGGAAGAAAAAAAAAGTTATGAGGGCGAGTGAATGATGAAAGAATCATATTTGAGTGAACTGTTAACTGCCAAAACAAGAAACAAATCAACTCATCATCATTTGTTTGCAGATGCAAAGTTTTTATATTTTGTAATATAATACAATGACATTCATTCATTTTTAAGTGTGGCATATTGTATGTCTTTTCAGGGCCACTTTTTACAAATCAAATCACAAGATGCTGTTCACATCTCCACAGCAGCTGGCAAATGTCAGAACAAGACTCTTCATTAGTAGGATCATAAAAGAGTGAATTTTCCACTCCTTCATGCTCTTACGGTTAAATGTAACCTTTCTCTCCATCCCTTGACCCTGCTGCCTCTCTCTCCTTCAGTCTGTCTCTCTCTCTGGTGACAGACACTGTGGCTGAAAATTACAGACAGGCAGATCTGTTTAATGATGTCAGGCGTCACAGATTCGAGGCCTCACGAAAACTGACTATTTTAACAGTGCGCATGGAGACTAGAGGAGGAGACGGCCTACACACACACACACAATGTGTAGTTTTGGTTTTCTGAGATGTTCTTCGGGGTAACTGTCAAAGTTACTCACCTCCTATCTCGGCCAAATGAGCAAATTACTCAGAAACAAGTCCAAACAAAACCGCAGAAGAGCATTCTGTTACACTGCAGTACAGCTTGCCAACTGTATGTGTGTGCATGTGTGAACATCTTTGTGTGCTGTTTGTGTGCAATATATACATTTTTTTTTAAATATATTTCTATATTTATTTACTGTTTGGATACAATAAAGGGACAGTCCACACAAAAAATATTAATCCATTATGTATTCGCCATCACGTTGTTCCAATCCCACTGTTTATTTTTTATTTCATTACTTTCTTTTTCAATGAAACACAGAAGAACGTAGCATGTCCAGTTTATTCATGCATTTTTTTATTTTACATTTTTTTTTACATTTATTTGACCATGTAGTGTTGCTTTATTGAAATAAAAAAAAATATATATATAAGTAAATTATTATTATAAATAACAAAATATTATAAAGAAAATTATACCATATAATTAAAAAAATGTATATATATATATATATATAAATGCATGCATTTATAATATACTACATTTATTACATATTACAAATTTTTACATATACAGCTCTGGATAAAAATGAGTGTTGGAGTAAAATGAGCATTTTTGTTTTATTATAAACTAGTAGTTTTAAAACTACTGACAACATTTCTCCCAAATTCCAAATAAACGTACTGTCATTTAGAGAATTTATTTGCAGAAATTGACAACTGGTCAAAATAACAAAAAGATGCTGTGTTTTCATACCTCAAATAATGCAAAGAAAACAAGTTAATATTATTTTTTTAAACAACACAATACTAATGGTTTTAACGTAGGAAGAAATCAATATTTCCAATCACAGCTTTCATGCGCCTTGGCATGCTCTCCACCAGCCTTTCACATTGATTTTGGGAGACTTTATGCCACTCCTGATGCAAAAATTCAAGCAGATCGGCTTTGTTTGAAGGAAGCAAGTTTTCTTCCAGGACAACCTTGTGCGTGGCTTGATTCATGCGCCCTTCACAAAGACGTATGTGCCAGATTCCAGCCTTGCTGAAGCACCCCCAGATCATCACCGATCCTCCACCAGATTTCACAGTGGGTGGCTTGTAGGCCTCTCTAGGTCTCCATCTAACCATTAGATGACCAGGTGAAAGCTGAAAACTGGACTCATCAGAGACGGTCCAATCCTTATGGTCTTTTGCAAAATTCAGGCTGGCACTTCTTTGCTTCTCATTGATGAAGGACTTTTTTTCTAGCTTTGCACGACTTCAGCCCTGTTTCGAACCGTCCTCACCATGCACTTCACCCCAGCTGCTGCTTGCCATTCTTTTTGTAGGTCATCCTACAATTGTTGAGTGACATTGGAATGAGTTGGTGGGCATCCCGGTTAGTGGAGATTTGTTTTCTTCCTCTGACGGTCTAGCTTTGGCGTCCCCAATGTCATCAGCTTGACCTTGTTCTTATGAGCTGCTGTCTTTGAAATTTTAAGGATGGAAGCAACCTGACACTCATTGTGTCCCTCTGCCAGTAAGCCAGAATTGAACCCTTCCTTTCTTCACTCAAAACTTTTCTTTTCAACTCTTTTGGCATGGCCGACAGTTATTATTTGATTCCAATTGCTTTTGAGGTACTACTAGCACTGTTTTTGTCATCCAGCTGGTCTTTCTGCAAGAGGATAGTGATGACCATGGCAGTGTTTTTTATACTTTTCCTCGTTAAATGAGATTTGGTTGAGGTGAACACCTAATCAGTACTTCATTAAGCAGAACAAAGTGTGTCTGTGTTGGAATATATATTTATATACTACCTTATTATTTTTTATTAATTTATTCTATATAAAATAAAGCAATACTACATGTCATGCAAGTACAGTAAGCGTTTTGTATAAAATTACAGTTCTCTGATGACCTCACACAGCTCTTTAGGTTCAACAACAAACAAATAAATCCAACTGTCAAGACTATTTTTTTAGTTCACAAACAAAACTGGCATTTGAAGAAATCTGTTTTTGCTCAGCGCTGTGCATTTTAAATATTTTCATATGTCTTTTAGCAAGTTTAGTACTTCGTATGAACACAAACACAAACGCACACACACACACACACACACACACACACAGTGACAGCTTTGCGAGTAATATTTCAGCAGCAGAGGTTTGTGGGGTTTGGGGCAGTCTAGAAACCGTGTTTACGCTGAACCGCTCGTTATTGGGCTGACCACAAACCTCTGCTGGCCACAGGCATGTGTGTGTGTGTGTGTGTGTGTGGTGATGGCGTAGGTGGGAGGGATCTGCTCCCAAAAACGCCAGTTAAACTCCAGCCCTCGAAAACTGAGTCGAAGCAGAGATCTGACTGCTAACAGCATCATACTCAACGTCTGCACGATGACAATTATCTCATTCATCTATGCAGCACACATTTTTCGCAAGCGTTGGAGTGCAAAACAGAATTGCATCACCTTGCTGACCGCGAAACATGGGCGGGTTGTTTTTGTCGTCTCCATACAGCACTGCCGAAATTACAAAGGTGATGGTTGATTTCAGAGATAACGTTGCAACAAACATCTCACATACCTCTGAATAATTGATTCACGGTTGATTTCTTTGGCACAGGTGCACAGCAATTCAATGTTACTGGTTGCCGCACAAAAACAATGTTGAGCCTTGTTCTCGGTGGGAATGTCTGTGTTCATTAGAGACTTCAAAGCAGCTTCTCACCTGGCACAAGTGTGTTTTTACCACGCTTATCTAAACAGTCTCAGAACGGGTGTCATTCCTTATACCCAGCAGATCTGCTCTTAAACAATATGCTCCATTCATCTTTGTGCCGCGGTCTCTGTGACGGTCAGAGGAAGGCGGTTGCGCAAAGAGAGAACTGGCATCGCTAATTCAACTCATTTCATGCTGCAGCTAGCTGAGCTAAACTATCAAAACAAACAATTAAAAAGACTTTTGTTCTAAGTGAACAGTAAACAGCTCAGAGCCGTTTCAGCTCATAGGGAAAGTGCCTATAACTGGGTTATTTCAGTTAACGTTATAGTTCACACAGAAACTAAAATTCTGTCAACATTTACTCAACCTCATTTAGCTAATCTTTGAAATGTTTGTTAGGTTTTTGAAATCAGTGAGGTTTGTTCTAAAGCGTGATGCACCGTATCGCATAAAAAGCATAAATTAAATCTGTTCATCGTATCTTAATTCTTCACAAGACTTGAATGAAATTGCTTGATTTATATGGATGCAGTTTTCTATGCCTTTATGACCTTTTTGGATCCAAGTTTTGGTTACCTGGACTTTCAATGGAGGGACAGACAGTAACCTCTCAGGTTTAATTAAAAACATCTTAATTTGCGTTTCGAAGATTAACCAAAGTCTTTGGGTTTGGAACGACGCGAGAGTCAGTATTTGATGACAGAATGTTCATTTTTGGGTGAACTAGCCCTTTAGGTATCAACTTTGTTTCAGATGTTTCTCCTGAAATGCATTAGAAATGCATTCATGCAAAACAGAATGAATCTACTGCTGACTTACAGTAAAATATAAAATTCATGTGCAGAATAGAGTAGCTCAGATTATGTGGTCATGGAAGAATTTGATAAGAACTGTTTGAGATCAAATTGAGATATTTACATTTTGATTGCAGACTTTAGTATCTTGGCAGATCTTAGTACAGTCTTAGACTTGATATTTCAGAAGACACATGATATTTCAAGGGGTCTATACACTAAAAAAAAATTGTCAATTTTACAGGAAATTACTATAAAAACGCAACAGTGAAAACCTGTTAATTGGTTAACTGTATGTTTTCTATCCTAATGGTGTGAGTGCACCGAGTCATTTTTACCCATCATCCCTTGTAACTCACCCTGCAGGCTGCGTAGTCGTCATGGTGGAATGTCAGTCTGGAGGGGCGTCTGTGATTTGAGACCCTCATGTGGCATCCAGACAGACACTGGAGCCCTCGCTGGGACGACAGCCGACTGCTGGTTTGATCCATGCCGGTGTCCCTGTCTGATGCATCCACACACACAAACACACTTCTTCATTTTTCCTGTCATGTACCATAAAACAAAATAACACTTTCTTCTTTTTATGTGTAAGTGTAAATATTATAACTATGAGACATTTTCCACAAGCAGAAGATTTTGAGATTTACATGGCCACAAAAAGACACTTCAGTCAGATTTAAAAATGTGTGAATACCATTGCATTACATAACGAATATTAAACCAAGAGGCAACTATTTAACCCCCTGAGCCTCTTCATTCACACTTGGTACCTTCACAATTAAAAGAGACAGAAGCCTTGCAATGTACTTTTCTTTCTTCAGGAAAATTAATCTAATATATTTTTGTTCAATAAAATTGTCATTATTATTTAGAATTTGGGTGGCATTTTATGATACTATGCAATATTTAGAACATTTTTGAGCTTTTTTTATAATGTTTGAGTTGATTTTATAATTTTATAATGTTTGAGGTGGTCTTCTTTCTTTCAAATTGAGACTTTGACGTTTGATGGCAGACATTAAAACACCATTTAATCTCACTGCAAACAACTGTGATATTAACAAGACGTAATCCGTGACATTTTGTATCCTAATGGTGTAAGAGAGTCAAATAAAATTATGTTTGGTGTAAGTTTCGAAATACTTTTAATACAGTATATTTTTAATACAACATATCTGCCGTTTTGTCATCTTGGGATCAGTTGGTTAAAAGTTAGACTTTTATTATATAAAGCAATAAAATTCCAATACTTCAGTGTGTCTTGAGTGTTTTAATACTTTGTGTATCCATACCCTGGGCTCTAACATATCGCTGACCCCACCTGCTGTCCTCAGGTGAGTCTGGTGCATGGCCTACGGTTGTGTTGGCCTCTTTATTCCCTGCAACAATCTGCCCATTGTTTACCAAAATAATAAAACAATATTCTGCGTCTGGAGTGGCTGCCAGACTAAACAGAACAAATTAAGAACTCCTGGGGTCCGCTGATGCCAGGCCTGTTGCAAATTAGCACGCTTTTACATTTGTTTTGGCTTGGCCGAGAGCAGGGTAACATTTAGTGTTTTAAGAGCCCATCCCAGTTTTAAAAACCCACAAAATTCAGCTTAAGTTCACACAGCAGCTCTGTTCCAAAACCTAGTGAGCTGCCCTGCTATCTGCTGCCTACACAGGCCTGTCGTGGATGCTGTCTGAGGTGTGATGCTAAGCAGAAGTAATGAAGAGAAATTATGAGAAAATATGTAAAAAAAAAAAAAAAAGGAATGACAGGAAACGCCATCCTCATTGAGATAATTCTGTTTTTAGTTGCATTTTAAAATAATCTTGAGTAGAATTGTTCTGTTCGTGATGACAGATGAATCAAAGAAGGATTTTTTCCTAACCACAATTTACTTCAATGTCACAAAAGTACAAGAATGTATGTGGCAGATTTAAAGATAATGAACATGTTTTTTCTCTCTCAGAGAAAGAATGAGGCAGCAGAAAAAAAGTTAAAAAAAAAATAAAAAAAAAGTTTTGTCCTTATCAAGGAGGATATGAAAATGTATTATATCTTGTTATGATTACTTAAGGTGGATTTTTCGGCAAGGAATTATAGCTCAAATTAAGACGTGTATTGGAATGTGTTTGTCAACTGGAATAAAGCTTGAATAAAATTAAATATAAATATTACACAAAAAACTTGATACAACACTGATATGTTACCTTGAGAACTAAGTGAAATAAGTTACAATTACTAAAACTGAAAAAGCTTAATATAAATATGAAGAAAAAAAATGACAAAAAGACAAATAAAACTAAAATGAAAACTGAAAAATAAAAAAGCTAATGCAAAATATTAATAGAAATTATAATAGTATATAAATAACACTAAAATAACACTGGTTCTAAGCAAGAAGATCATCTTGGAGAAGCAACAAAGCAGCTAAGTGAAGGTAACTAGTCAACCAGGAAATAGAACCAGCATTTCTTTTGACTTGTCTGACATCTTGGATGGTTTTACTGCTCTAGTTACAATGCATTATGAGATTACTTCACCTGCAAAAGATACATGCAATGTATCTATGGCTCACAATGTTTTGGAACAGAGCTTTGGAACTGATTTAAATAACACTGCTTTCCTGCTGCTCCGCAGCTCTGTCTACTCTGATTTTGACATAAAACTTAACATAAATCTGCAATTAGATACATGATGCTGTTGGTTTATGTGCATTTTTAAATAATGCATCATTTCTGCAGTTACAAAAATATGTGAAAAATTCACATACGATCCAAAACTTCATCCAGGCATTTAACTTAGTGAGGTTCGTAAGATGGATGATTATGGAAATCATCTGTCCTCAAATTCCATGTGTCATCAGTGATATAAATCGATATGTTCCAGCAGAAAAATATGTTTTTTTTTTTTTTTTTTTAAAAGCAAAATGCATGAAAAATTTAAAAGAAACAATTTTCTGTATATTTCATAAGGGTTTATTTATCAGTGCATTCGCAAAGGCATTTTTAAATGGCTCCATATGTTAGGGATGCCAGAAAACAGGCATTATGACGGAAATGTTACGCCCCTTAACATACTGTGATGCCGTATCCCAGCAGGATGAGACTCAGTCCAGCTGCTCTTGCATGTGCACATCCCATCATCGGTTCTCTTTTAGCAGTTCAGTCAATGTACTGTTAGGAGTAACTGAATAACTCAGGATATTGGTTTATTTCACGTCAGAGGGAGTGTCAGGCACGTTTATAAACCGAATAATTTAAGTAATCTGTGGATTAGTGCGTACTGGAGACACGAACCGTTTCAAACAATTCAGTTCGATTTGGTGAACTGGTTCGACCGGTTCACTAAGAAGATCCGGTTAAATAGAACGATTCGTTCGCGATCCGGACATCACTAGACGAGACAAAACCAATAAAACCCATTACAAACGAGGCATTTGTTGCATCCAGTGGGGACATAATTTCTGATTATAATGACTTATACTGTCTTTTTAGGCGTTGCGTTGCGTATTGCGCAGCGTAAACATAAAACCTGTCTGCATTTGTGATCGGAGAAACAACAAACAAGCTTCTTTATGCACCAAGAGCTTGTAACACTCCAAAGAGAAAGGAAAATTGAAATCGCATCATATGACCCCTTTAAAGTATCAAAAAATGAAAATTTGCTAAACGTTTACTCACCCTCTGGTAATTCAAGGTGTAGATGGTTTTGTTTCTTCACTGGAGCAGATTTGGAGAAATTTAGCATGACATCACTTACTCACTAATGGATCCTCTGCAGTGCATGGGTGCCGTGAGAATGAGAGTTTAAACCGCTAATAAAAACATCACAATAATTTATACAACTCCAGTCCATCAACTATCATTTTGTGAAGCAAAAAAAATGCATGTTTTTTTACAATAAACTGTTGCTTCTGTCTAAAACACAAGTCCTCTATCCATAGTATTGCTTGCTCCAGTAAAAACAATGTCTCATCTGAATCAGGAGAGAAATATGCACAGATGTTTACAAGCAAAAACATAAATATGTTGGTGTATTTTGATGTAAGAGGACAACAGGAGATGGACCTTCCCACTGGAGGAAGCGTTATTATGGATTATGGACTCTATGGATTATGTCATGTTGGCCAGAAATGATACTTTAAAGTTAGAACATCTTAATGATGGATTTGTTTCTTACAAACAGGCAGCTTTTCACTTCACAAGACATTAACTGATGGACTGGATTACGGTGATGATTTTATCAGCTGTTTGGACTCTCATTCTTAAGGATATCTATTCAATGCATTGGTCCATTGGTGAGTGATGTAATGCTAAATTTCTCCAAATTAGCTCTGAATAAGAAACAAACTCATCTACATCTTGGATGGCTTGAGGGTGACCGCATAGAAAGAAACCACACAGAAATGGCTTCGCAACGACATTGTACAAAACACCACTTGCGTTTTTCTTCAGAGAATGTAAAAAACATTTTCAACAATCTATTCAATTGATTGCGCACCTTCAACACTTGATGGCCTGTCATTTGTTAAGTAATCACTGTGTCGACTGATGACGTTTAATTAGGAACATTTCACTCTCTCGTCAGTCATCACGTTTAATCTCTTCATGACATCATAACGCCCTGCTCTGTCCACAAAATTAGCCGCCTTTTGTTTGACACGTCTGAGCAGCATGGAGAATGACAGGCACAAGCCGGCTTTGATCTCCGTGAGGAGCCGACTGGATTTCTTTCGCTCATCCATGGGGTGAAGCGAGAGGTTAAATCAAAGGCGTTTATCTGCTGAGAGGCCATTGCCATCTCATCACGCTGTAAAAACATTTGCTCATTCACACCTGCTTTCAAAGTACCTGGCTAACAGCCCTTGTCAGGTGTGATCAGAGACTATTAGAGGCGCCACAAGTTCATATGAGTCTAGAGAAAAGCTCAACAGCAAGAGGGCATTTCACTTCAATCATAGCTAGAAGTCATTAAATATGGGTCAGATAGCGAGAAAAGCCCATCAAAAGAAGAACTTCCTGTCCTGAAGACAAACACTGAAGTATTTAACCAAGAAAACAAAGAAATATGACTTCCAAAAAGTACAGTTGGATGTTTAATTTCCAGAACTGGCCTAAAGATGGGACCCAGTAAATAATGCAGAAATGCAGCAGCTGTTGTCTGGCTGAGTCTTCTAACTGGATGTGATGGGTAAATGTCTAATGCTCTGTGGGTCTGTGTGTGTCCCTCCGTGTTGAGGTTTTGTTGCCTGTGTGTGTTCTGTCAACCTGGGTGGCTGAATTATACATCTCTCGTGACACATTAAGTGTGGCCCATACATTTACAGAGCAACGACACACAAATCAGAGCAGGCTAGAGCCGTTTTGCCCCATGTTAGGTCATGTATTGATCCCAAATTATCTTTTGTTTTCTCCTTTCATAATGTCACATGGACTAAATCTCTAAATAAAGGTTCTTTATTGGCATTGATGGCTTCATGAACAATCTTCAGAACATTTCCATTGCACAAAAGGGTTCTTTAAAGTGGAAAAGGGTTCTTTCGATTATTCAAATGTTCTTCAGATTAAGCAAAAATGGTTCTTTTAAGAACCTTTCACTGAAAGTTTGCATCACTGCAGAAAGCCTAGTTACAACAATGAGAATATGATCATGAAATATTGAAGAATTTTTCTGACTATTAACATTAGCCTACTTATTTCTCATCACGTTTGACATTAAAACAATTCTGATGACATGTACTGTACCTTTCTCACTGCAATGCAGTCAGGAACAGAACTTCAGGAACAGCACTGAAAAAAAAAATGCATAAATGTTTAATGATGTTTACAAATTCCAGCAGTGATTTCAAGTCAGGGCGATTTTTAAATAATTTTGCATTATGAATTTCAAGCTGTTTCTTGTAGCATTATCCTGCAAGCTGACATGCTATAAATCATTAAAACTACATTTTTTTTACTACACCATTCTGTATAATTGTTAGCATGTGCAGTTTTTATGACCTAGCATAATGATATTACATGGATTACTTGTCACACTGCAGGACTATTTAAAATGAACTAGTGAAGGCACATTGCCTTGAACACATGCATATATAAACTTAATATTTTGATGTTTAATAAAATAAATGTTAACATGGAGAACAAAATGCATCACAGAAAAAAAAATGTAAAAAAATCACATCAACATCAACATATTAGAATGATTTCTGATGGATCATGTGACACTGAAGACTGTGGGTATAATGGCTGCTGAAAATTCAGCTGTCATCACAGGAATAAATTAAATTTTAAAATATATTCAAATAGACAGCGAACACATTAAAAAAAAAAAAATCTTCCTGACCCCAAACTTTGAATGGTAGTTGTACGTATCAACCACACAAATGTATATACACAAAATGTGCTTCTGGGACGAAATACACATTTAAAAAAAATTAACCATTTGTTTTTCATTCTAAAAAAAACAATTCATCTAGGAATAAAATTCAGCCATGAATTTACTAATTTCCACCAGCGAGGCTGTGGTGTTTGGAGTTGTCGTGAAAAGCTCTGTTGATCCCGAGGAACGCTCATGACACGCTGCTGTCCGTGATTACCATACCACAGCAGTGCCATTGTAGATCTTTACTGCAATTTGCATTCCTTCCTGATAAAGTGATGATCACTGGACAGAGAGAAGCTGGCCTCAAAGGAAGTGACCTCAGGGCCTGATGGCATCTCCTGATTAGAGGGAAACTTGCTGCATAATGTTTTAATTCACATCTGTGTGCCCTCTCTTTACACTGCCAATTTCTCTCTTCCTGTTCTCTCGCTCTCTGCATCCTTCCCTGAAGTATCTCCTCAATCCTCCACTTATTCTCTCTCACTGTCCCTCTGTCTACATACTTCAAGCCCCTTTTTTAATCTTTCCTCATCCCTCCCTTCCTCTGTTTCTTTATCTCTCGCCCTCTTTCTCTCTTCCCTCACTTTGTAGTGCTCCTGGCATCCTTATCATGAATCAATCATGTCTTTGTGATGAAAGGAACTGCCTTCATTTCCACAGGAATGCGCCCCTCTCAGTGTCCATATGGAAACACTTGCCAGACAGATTGGTTCTGTTTTTTACTCTTCCCTAGAGCATCAGACACGACTGATCGCGCTGTACATGTCCAGAATAGAGCGATATTAGGGGGGCACGATAAGAAAAGAGAAGACGCTTTCAACAAAATAACATAAAATAACAGTACACACCCCTGCTAAAGAAACATCCTAAACCAGACTAAGCTGGTTTGCTGGTTTTCACTGGTTTCCCAGCTTGGTCTTCTGCCCATTTTTAGAGGGGTTTTAATAAAATTAAAATAACATTTTAGACTTAAGAATAGAAAAAATACAGATGATAAACCAGAAAATATAACCCAAAAATAATGTGGGGTACTTAAAAATAAAAATGAAAAGACTTTTCTGCTGACATGGACCTTCTGCCTGCAATTCAGTCAGGACTTGAATGAAGATTTAAAAAAAAAAATCAAGATGTTTGATGTTTACATAAAATCTCAGCAGTGCTTTCAAGCCTGGGCAATATTTAAGTAATTTTTCATTTTAGTATTTATGAACATGGAATTGCAAGCCATTTCAGCAGTATCCAGATTTCAAACAGGGAGAACAGCTAAACCAGTTAAAAACTGGCTAATTGGCTAGACTGGGAGATCTGCTTTAACCAGGTTTTACCAGCAAACTCTCTTAGGTTGGGGTTTTATTATTTATTTTATTTTAACAATTTTTGTGTTGTCATTCCCCTTCTAGAACGCGCAAGTGTCGATTCTCTATAAACCAATCAACGTTCTGCAATGAGTCTAGCTCCACCCTTTAGGTACCGGACTACTGTGCTAAGGTACCCCAACGGAAGGGTTCCATAAAAACGGTGCGGTACGGTTCGCTAATTTGGTACCATTCACAAATTCTGACAACGGAAATGGAAATAATTGCATACCGTCCTGTACTGAACCATACCGCTTGGAAACGAGGCTTAAGCTACTGGTTTAAATATGAAGATTTTTTTTTTTAAATGCACAGTGAGCCAAACATTTTTTTGAAAAATAATATCACCCTTCAAGAACAATTTACATGATTTGCTCATCCTTATGTCACACTTTAAATTCCACAAGAACTGTGCACTATTCGTGCCCTAAAAGTTAATCCACTAGAACAATTTTTTGGTTTTTGGCAATTTCTTGGTAAATTTTAATAAAATTTGCTTACACTCTGGAAGGGCATTCCTTCTGATGACGTCAGTTTGACGACTTGGGCAGAATATCCTTAACCACTCCCTTTCAACGGTTAGTTTGCTGTGAGTGAGGAGGAGGAACGCTGAAATAAAAACCCGGCCCTCTATTTGTGACAAAATTAATTTTGTAGGGTGCCACAAGTTTGTTAAAATTTCCAAAGGGTGCCGCGACTAAAAAAAGGTTGGGAAACACTGCTCTATTCAACATTTCTTTTCAGTTGGAAATGCGTCACAATACTGAAGTTGGCAGCAACTTCTGGTTTATGCAGACTTTAATGTACTCAGCCTTATGTCACACACAGAAGGGACAGGGATTGTCAAGCTCTAAAATGACAAAAAAAGCATGATATATGATATGATGCAAGCACTTTATTCCAAAACCTTATGATGCCATTTGATAGCTTTGTGTGAAGAACAGACTGACATTTACAGGGGAAAGCTTCTCTGCTGTAGCTTTCAAATCAAATATGGCTCCATTAGAGCATAGAGACACACAAGAACCAATAGTGTTTGTTGGCATGTCTGACACATCTTTTGTGGTTTTTAGAGAAGTAAATCAGTTAAATATGGCTAAGCTATTGCTTGGCTTCAGAAGACTATAACATGTATGATTATGTTGTATGATTATGATGTTAGCTAGAATTAATGTGACAAACTATACCTGTGGTTTAGGGCAACTTCATACATACAGTACACTAAAAATCAACTTGTGAATAAATTAAATACTATATATCCGCAGGGTGCGAATTACGGGGGGGTTTGGGGGGGGTCTGACCCCCCTAAAGAAGGCTTGATCCCCCTGATGGACGTCAAAAGTAGATGTGGGGGGGGTCAGATAGAAAGTAGGCTAGCCTACGCATAATATGGAGATTTACTTGTAAATATTAATATGTATTTCTATAGCTCTGACTGATTTAAAAAATTTAATTTTGGCAGCCCCTGAAATGGGTCGAATTGACAGTACCTGAGCGGTTGAAGAATACGCTACAGCGCTCATTCAAAGAGGTGCATTTATTGCTTGGACGGAGCAAGAACACCTGAAATGCATGTGCAGATTCAGTCGAGAGAAAGTTTACCCTCTTCAACTTAATGCTGTTGAACTGAATTCACGTAGAAAACTATTTGCTAAAATAACCACAACATTAACAGCAACCTAAAATACAAGTGTGTGGTAATGTTAATCAGATGCGCATGAAAGTTGCACGTGTTACTATAACAAACACTGTGTGTTTTCTTTCAGAATCATCATTGGCGTTTAGAAAGACAATAATAGGTTGCATAAAAGTTTTTAACCTACAGTAAAAATGAAGATAAGGTGTGAATTATTACATTTTAGACACATTGGCAATTTCGGCAACAAAAATTAGGAGAACTGTTGTGCGTCTCTGATCAACACACAGAATGCAAGTTTTTAAACGAATCGACTGAATCAATAATTCAGTGAGCCATTCATAAAGGCAGTCACTTGTGCCTTGTCCAAATACCCACACTTGCGGTCTTTGTACTTGACCACTTGATTACTTATATGACGTATTTCCTGTATTTGGTCCAAGTGTTCAAGTCAGCATTATTCGAGGCTTAGTGTATCCCATCATGCATCATGTTCTGGAAATAAATCGTGAGACTTTTTGCCAAGATCGCACAAGAGGTCACGGAACCTTTCCAATGCAAGTTAAATATTAATAATAATAAGATATTTGATTCATAAGCCGATTCATTCAGAAACGAAGCAATGCCTTGTCCAAATGACAAGGCATTGCTTCGTTTCTGAATGAATCAGCCGTTTGAACGAATCGATTGAATGAATGACTGAATCATTCACTTATTAAGACAGGGATTTGTCACCACCTACTGGGCACTTTTAGTTTTATATTTAGAGTATTGTTTCTTTTTAAAAATAATTTTATATTTCACTAAAGTGAGGATGTGAGGAGTAAGTGAGGATGAAGACCACAAGTGTGTGTCGAACTTTTCATTACCTGATGGGACACACTTATAGTGTTGAAAAAACTTATGTGTTTACGGTTTTATTTTTATTTTCAATACTTTGCATTTTAAAATCAACTTCTAAATGTCTGTTCAGTAACAGATGACATAATTTAATTTCTGGTGCTTCTAATTAAGTGATAAAAAGCAGTTGCAAATGTTGTACAAAAATAAATATACTAATCTTTGCAGCAATTGCAGCAATAGCACTTTGTTTTTACTACCAAATTATATGTAATATCTTATTATTATTAATATTTAACTTGCATTGGAAAGGTTCCGTGACCTTTTGTGCGATCTTGGCAAAAAGTCTCTCGATTTATTTCCAGAACATGATGCATGATGGGATACACTAAGCCTCGAATAAGCTCCGGAGCGGTATTCGAGGCTTAGTGTATCCCATCATGCATCATGTTCTGGAAATAAATCGTGAATGACTGAATCATTCACTTATTAAGACAGGGATTTGTCACCACCTACTGGCACTTTTAGTTTTATATTTAGAGTATTGTTTCTTTTTAAAAATAATTTTATATTTCACTAGCCTATTTATTTGTATTTTTGTATGTTGAATTAAAATATTTATTTCTAAAGCTACTTTTTTGTAATGTCTATTCAGTGTTTTTTTCTAAACTAACACAATAACCATTATCTTTAATAACAACTTTATCTTTAATTAATACGCACATGATGTGCATGTTAATTAATTAATCTTATTAACTTGAGATTAATTTGATTAATTAATTGGCACATTATGTAATTAATTAGATTTTTTTTTTTTTTAAACAAGCCCTATTTAAAACATATTAAATGATGGTCACTGTGTAATCTGCACCCTGTATATCAGGGGTTCTCAAGTCAGACCCTCATGGTCCACTTTCCTGCAGGGTTTCACTCCAACCCTGATCAAACACACCTGGTCAAGGTCTTCAGGATTACTAGAAAGTTACAGGCAAGTGAGTTCGACCAAGGTTGGAGCTAAACTCTGCTGGAAAGTGGACATCAACAGCCACGCAGTAAAACGGTAATATTGTGAAATATGACTGCAATTTAAAATAACTTTCCTGTGTTAATATATTTTAAAATGTAATTTATTCTTCCAGTGTTACTCCAGACTTCAGTGTCACATGATCCTTCAGAAATCATTCTAATATGCTGATTTGCTGCTCAAGAAATATTTATTAATATTATCAATGTTAAAAACAGTTATACTGCTTAATATTTTTGTGGAAACGATCATTTTTTCCTTGATTAATTGAAATATAAATCAATAAAACTATTTAGTAACAATTTAATGCATCCTTGCTAAATAAAATAAAAAAAATGCAATCTTTTAAATGGTAGTATATATACCAATATAAATTTAAGAGTGGCTTAAGTACTTTATGGGGCCACTGTGATGCACTATAAAGTTTTTCGCATACACTGAAATGGACAGAATAATCTCTGAGTTCAGAGGTGTGAAAGTTGTGGTTTTCTCCTATAATCGTCCGACAGCTGAGCGAACAGAATTCTGATGTGTGGTCACCCGACGTCGTCCGTTCTGTTGGAGGGTAATTACTAATATGCCACTGATGGTGCCTCAGCTGCCAGTAACTCTGTCTGGGTAGAAATGTTGGATTTGTTTTGCTCTGCTAAGTGGTTTTCAGCTTCTTACTTGTGCACCACAAGCATCCTGGACATTTTAATGGAAACCATATATATGAGAACCGTATAGCTCATTTTTGGGGGTTTATGAATAATAATGCTGCTCTATTGAGCTAGCAGAGGATTCGGAGGGCAACTTATCACAAGGAGCGGCTGGTATTGCATATTAAGAGAGCATTTGCATTCACATATCTCTTAAATATGGAGCATGTAAACTATGGAAATAATGCATGAAGTATTTATACTATTAAAAAAATAACACGACTTTGCACTCGTCGCCCGTTTACAGGTGTCACATGCTCACGCAAACATGTTTACACACCCTTTAACCTTTCCAAGAGGAGCAAACATTTCTCCTGCAGTCCTGTTTGGGATTCATCCAGATCACTACAGCTGCCTCAGTTCAACACTAATTGTTTGGGTCTGAATACCAGGGCAGTATTTTTTACTGAACAGTTAGTTATCCAAGAAAGCCACAAAGCAGCTTTTTAAAATGATGGCGAATGCCAGCGCTCCGGCATTGTGTTTCTTTCTCTCTGCATGTGATTTACAGTCGAGCTTATGCACTTAAAATTTGTTACCTCGGCCCCATGCGGTGTGTATGTGTGTGTGCTGCGTAAACTGACATTATGAAAACTGCTAAGTCAATGTTTTCACTCTGGGCTACGAATCAGCATTTCTGGAAATCAGAATGTGACCTGCCCTCGCTCGTTTTCTCCCCTCTCATTTTCACACACCAATTACCAGGATAATTTCGAGCATACCAGTGTGATGTGGACCTTTTCCAGAACCGCACTCTGGAACGCATTTACAAATGTGGTAACGCAGCAAAGCATTTATCTGACATACTCTGTATTTATACTTTCACTTACAGTGTGATGCTGAGCAGAAGAAATTAACAAACTGTGTGATGAATTGAATCGGGCTACGAAATAGGCGCCTTTGCCAGTTTCATAAGATAATTTATACAGGACAATCTGCAAGATTTAAACATGAATCAGACAAATAATGTGTTTAAGTGGTAGTAAATTGCCACCTCAAGCACAATTATTTTAAATATATGTTGGAATATAATTACGCTTTCAAAAATGTAAAAACAAAATCATGGTAACAGGATTTATAATATTTTATACACACACACACACACACACACACACACAATAAAATGTATTATGTTCATATAAAGGTGTTTTAAACATTTTGAATTAATCTTTGCATTGTATCATATTTTAAGGTAAACATACTGGTATAGTGTATAGAATTTATACAGAAATACTAAAAAAAGTGATTAGTGAAGATAAAGTGGATGTAAGTGTAATTTCTGTCTTTTCCCCTCAGTTTCACTGAGAATGAGGCAGCAGAAATACACTTACACTGTGATGCTCTAGTGTCTTTTATCTGAGGTGACGTGGATGATGCTGTTTGAAGCTTCTGTGTCAGAATAAAAGGCCCTTTTGTTTTTCTCCTTATCAGGGAGGATATGAAATGGCAGCGACTTGTATTCATTTAGAGAAATAGCTTCCTTCACTGGGAATTGAGTGTCTGTATGAGAGAGGGAGAGAGAGTCCTGATAGCCGGTGAAGCATGCCACTTTCAATTTCAACAACAAACAGAACTTCACGCAACAGAAGGAGAATATAATTGAATATGTGTGCGATTACAAATATTAAGGCTGAGGGCACCTGATCTGATGCCTCACACAAAAACTCCTGCTGCACTGTCAGAACCTCTTTTTACCACCAATTTGCCACCTGGAACTGATTTTTACAAGCATTTGTATCTTTATGGGGAAATTTTAGCATTCTAACAACATAAAAACACACCATACCTATTTAATTGAAATGGTTCAATTAAATCAATTAATTAATTCCAAATTGGATCAATTACGGTTGCTAATTATGAAATCAAATCTAAAAAGCATCTTATGGTGATGCACAAGATGTTGTAACACAAAAACTCTGCTATAATACCTTTTTATAAATGCCTTTCACCATGTAATATTACACTATTATAATATTTGGGGTATTTTTGTCACTTTCAGTGTCATTTCTGCCCCAAGCCATGACTAATTTCTGACCATCTTGCTGTCAACCAACAGACAGCACAAATAAAGCACTGACCAAACCCAAATATAATCAAAGATTTGACATAATGTACTTTCCACATCATAAATAGTTGAGTTAAACCCATACCGACGACAGCTGAAGCAATCTTGCATCTCAACAAACCCCAGGCCTGAGGAATAGCACCGCCATTGTGTCAGAAAACTGAACACATCAGTCACTCATGCTAATATGAAGTTGGTCTGGATGGCTCTGTGGGACGACCACAGCGCTGCGAAACATGTGAGAGACTTTGGCTCAGGCGTTCTTTAATCCACTGCCGTTGTGTCTAAGAGCGGCACTTACGGCTCCCGCTGTGCTCTATTCCAACTACTCTATTTGTTTTCAACTGGCGGGTTGTGACCCAAAAATGTGTCCCAAATCTGTTCTGACAGGGTTGTGGACAGCAGCGAAAAACAAGGCGAATAATAAAATGCAACTAACCATATAATTGTGCATAGTTATGCAAACAAAAAGAGGCTTATCAGCTTTTAGAAGAGATGAGAGAACATTTTCCAGTTTTCTATGTCCAAGACATGTGGCCAATGGTATTAAACACAAAACCATCTGTCACTTGATAATATGGCTAATAGTAATACAATAATAAAAAGCTATATGTATATTATGTAAATATATTATATAAGATATATTTGGCACATGTACATACATTTATCATAATGTGTGCCTTACCAGAGAAGGATTGGCTGATTCTGGTTCCTCTCAAAGCTTTTCAACAAGGCTTTTTCTTCCGACAATCCTCTTTGGCTGGATCAAGGTGGGCATTACGGCATGATCTTCTAAGCTGATTTGAAACAATATGCACTGTGAAAACACAATATACAAATTAAACTGGCTTGACTTTACTCAACTTTAAACATTTCAGGCAAAGGTTTAGTCACATCAGTATTTCTAACAACTAGGTGTCATGGTATGTCACACTGAATACAAAAATATAAAATACAAAAAGTATTCTCGCAGCTTCATAAAATTAAGGCTGAACCACTGATGTCACATGGACTATTTTAACAATGTCCTTACTACCTTTCTGGGCCTTGAACGTGTCAGTTACATTGCTGTCTATAAAGGGTCAGAAAGCTCTTGAATTTCATCAAAAATATCTTAATTTGTGTTCCGAAGATGAACAAAGGCATTATACTGTAGGTTTGGAACGACATGAGGGTGAGTAATTAATGACAGAATTTTCATTTTTGGGTGATGTAACCCTTTAATAAGGTTTGATGTCACCGTTTCATTCTGTGATCCTACATGAGTGACAAATACAAAAAAGTTTGCACCTAAAACAATACAGACACTGATGCACAATCAGGGAAGTGTTTTATGTACCTAAGGCATATCAAAATAATAAATGAGTCTTACAAGCTCAATGATTTAGCTTAAAGGGTGAAACTGACTCATTCTGTTACTTCTATCCACAATAGAAGGTTCTGAGTCCTGCTTCAGCCTACATGAGACAAAAACAGATGCTGATAATCAATACAAATAAGTTTAAAAGGAGGAAAACCTTCATATCATGTATTTCACTAAATTAGGTGAACATGTTCCGCCAATCTTTAAAAAAAGAGAACAGTGAGGAATTGAGAAATTCCAGAGTTGATTCCAGAAACAGGAATCGCTTCCAGAGTTGATTCACAAACTAGGAATTTGAGTCAGAAACAAACAGCCGTAATTGAGAGAGATGTAATATTCTACAACCATTTTAAAGAGTGCAGAAAAACGGTAATATATTCTGTTATTTATTTAGTTTCTCTGGAGGATGTGATTGTTAGCACGGCATTGCTCTCCTGACGCAGTGTAATTACATAAGTTCTATTAAAGGCCAGTGCTGTCTCCTCTGAGGCAGAGGCACATGGAGGAGATGTAGTCATTACTGTGGCTCGGGGCCCGCTCGCACATGGCCAGTAATACTTTGTAATGACAGAGCCTGGCAGTTATTTAAAGTTTTCATTTAAATCTTGCCCTTTTGACCCTGCGGGATCACACATGCTCCAGTCAGCCAGCGGAACTGACAGCCCGAGGGAAGCCGCAGCAGACCCCATCCCATCATGCTTTTCTGCCAACCTAATCAACAACAATGACTGGTCCACTGATAGGACAAATATACCACCACATCCAGATTCAATCAAAACGGCTAATTTACACCAAATTGATTGTGGACAGATCCATCAGCAGACTGCCCTTAGGAAAGAACCTTTAGTGCTCAATTGTTTACTCTTTACAACATAAGATTACATGGAGAACAAATAGAGACATGCTGAGGTTGCCTGATTCTCAAATTTTTCTCCTGAAAAAATGATCCCAGAAATCTCGCCTCTTCCGGAGTTTCATAAGAGATCTCATCAATGTCTCAAATCATACTCAGATTTGCCAAGATCCACAGTGTCTGCAATATTTCAATATGAACTCAAATATTTCGAATCAAATAATTCCAAAATAAAATTATGCAAGTTATCCACATTCATTTAATAGATCTGTACACTTACTGTACAGTATGTCACAATTGTCTCATTTATGTCTGTTTTTATGTCTCCCAAGCAGTGTCAATATGGTTAACTAAAACTACAACTATTAAAAACCTTTTTTGTATTTAGATGAAATAAAAAATATGTATATAAATATTAGATAAAAGACTACATTTAAATACAAATTAGAAAGTGAAATTAATAAGTTTAATTAATAAGTGAATAAGTACGAAAATGGCTAAAACCGAAATAAATCTAGGCTAGATTTAAAAAATTACAAAACCACAAAATTACTAAAACTTTAACTGAAAATTTAAAATTAAATTAAAATTAAAACTGAAAACATAAAAATAAAAGTGCAAAATATTAAATCTAAATACTATGGTACACAGTTTAAAAACTTGGGTAAAATTGTAAGCAACACAAAAATTTGGAGTAACAAAAAAAACCTTTTTTACCCCACTGTATAGCATATGAATAAAATAACACTGATCTAAAATAAAAAATAAAAAAGATGACTAAGAGCAATACATTTACCTCATGGGAAATCCCATGACGTCAGGGCTGTTTACCTTGTCAGTCTTCCTATCCTTCCTTTTATGAAACCTACTGCACCCACCACATCAACAGCATGTGGTTCTCATTTTAATCATCAACACCCTTTCCAGTTAACACATCATTAAAAAAAACATTTACTCTTTATAGAGAATTGGATAACAGCTCATTATGCTCGAGTGCCATTTACAAGACAATAGCTTTTACATCAGTGGATTACATTACCAGAGAACAATGCTGCGATTCACAACACTCAAGGGAAAATACAGTCGATCTTTATAGTCACCTGTTCACAAACCTCAATCACATCAACACCATTATTCACTTGAACCCAGGGGAATATTTTATTGCTCAGAAGTTGCTATTTCACAACTCAGAAGCACTCAGTTGCGTTTGCATTTACATTTATGTATTTGGCAGATGCTTTATCCAAAACCACTTATATTACATTAAAGATGTACATTTTATCAGTTAATGAAGGTCCTGAAATTAATTGAGAGACAAAAATAGACACAAATTAGAAAATATGGTCACATTTACCATAGTTCGGCAAGCAGATTTTGCATCAAGTTCACACAAATTCGCTGCATTGACCAACAGAAAGTTGCTTGGTTAAAAAGTAACTTCTGTGTGAGTGATGCTGCATTCGTCGCTATACTTGAAACTGGACAGTGCTTTCAAAATTTCAACAAAAATGTCCAAAAAGCAGCTTTTTTTAATCTCGCCTTGAAGAAACAATTCAGATATTAAAGAGACTTTCCCAGATCAAAACTGTGACTAGACAACACTCATATTGAAAAAGTGCTTCTACAAGGACAGAATCACCTGCATACATATGAGCGTCCCTCCTTTGTGTGACTAACTTTTTCTTTGAAAAGTCAATGATCATTTCCTGTCACGCACTCGACCCCTCACCAGTGTGTGTCGCCGTGACCCTTGGCAAACAACTGACTGATGCTTAACTCTGCACACAATGCAGCATCAGTGTCGACTGTGGTGTGTCGAGCGACCAGAACAACCTGATCTTTGTCCTAAATATTCAGCAGGAGCTCTGAGCATTCTCAGCATACCCGAATTTATATTAGTAGTGCTTGCTAACGTCATACATACTGTAGAAGTTGGGATCTGAAGAAACCCCTGACCTTAAAGGGGTCATATGATGTTGCTAAAAAGAACATTATTTTCTTAACTTTTATAAAGAATGTCTCTTTGGATTTGAGACTTTAGTCTTTGCAACTTTACAGATCTTCTTTATGCACCAAGAGCTTGTAACACTCCAAAGAGAAAGGAAAAATTGAAATTGCATCATATGACCCCTTTAAGCATTAAACCTTGTCATGTGACTCAGAAGTGAATGGCACCTCAAATCATGCGTCTTGCTGAGGAGAAGTGTGCTATTACTCTTTTAACCTTGCAGAATTATGATTTTCACATTATAGACAACAAAATGAACTAAAAAACCCTCAGACACTAAAGGACAGACCCAAATAGTAATTTATAGAGAGGTGCCATTAACCAATCACCTATCAAGAAAACCATAGTAACAACACAGCATGATAAAAATACTTCTATTTTTAGTTCATTTCTAATCTTGGCCAATTTGCAGCCGTGTTGTGTGTGATTTCATTTTCAGATGAAGCAGAACAGTCGACTAAAACTCTGAGACGTGTTTGAATGAGCCACGATCTGTGTAATTCACACAATAATAGAATACAAATGTTTTATTGATCCCTGAAGAGAAATTCAATGAAAGCAGAAGGATTTGAGGAAACCTCACAATTAGGGAAGCAAAAAAGAAACGAAGGAGGAAGGCAGCATGAGCGATTTGGGATCTGGGAAAGTTGAAAGACGTTTCATCACAACGATAATGGAAGAGAGAGCAGCCAGACTCCTCACAGGACAAACCATAGAGAGCTCATGATAATGGATTTCACATGCCTCGCTCTCTCTTTGTGTTAAGCTGCCTGCAGCTAATTTGTCGTAATTTTAGTGGCCTTGTGTAATTGAGACCAACGGCAGGGAATCATTAATTGTGTCAGCAAAGTCGAATGAAAACAAAAACAGAGTATAAATTTACAACTGATAGTTTAAGCACTAATAAACGGCAATTTCTTTTGGGATATACACTAGACATCTTAACACTATTGTAGTGTGTATAACTAGAAAAATCGGTTACATAATGCACAGTATATACTGCTGCATCCTGCATATAATTCATGTTCATTCATTATGAATTAACTTATGTTAACATACTGTACTTGAAATGCTACAAAAATGTAAGTCTTTTAAATTAACAAAATAAGCTTATTTGAAATATACAGCCTTCTCTTCTAGGAAAACTGACCAAAATACTGGAGACGCATCTTGGTTTCAAGGGCGTACATATATTTTTTGTCCAGTCAATTGCTCTCCATCTACCTATAAAAATTGATATGTTCCACCTCAACTTCCTGTTTCAATAGGTAATACATTGATACACCTGCAAAACTGCAGACAAAACTGTTGTCACATGACCTCACCTGTGTCAACTTGCATGTCTAATGCAGCGAGTGGTGGCCAATTATCATTTTTACTTTGCTTTTAATTCACGTTTGTGTTGCATATTAGAATTGCATGCTTGCATACTTTTCTGGCCTATGAAACCATGATCCACACTCACAAAAATAGTCACAAAAATAAATGTGATAAATATAAACGTTAAAATTAAAATGGTAAAAGAATACTATTTTTGGGAGTTCCATATACTAAGTAATTAAATACACAAACGGCTTTGTGGAAACACTTTTC